ATTTTTGATAAAATTTATCATCCCCTCATGTATAAAATGCCAAAGAACTTAAAATAGAAGGAAAATATTTCAACATAGTATTGGCCCTATGTAGGAAAAGTTTAGGTTACATTCCACTAGGTAGGGGGAATCCACTATATTTCCAGTACAAGCAAGAAGAAAATGATGTGCGCTTACTCCACTCTTTTTTAATGTAGTACCAAATACCAAAATAGAAAAAAAGACAAAATAAACAAATAAAAGCTGTACAAATAAGGAAAAAAATACAAGTCAAAGTACCTATTCTTGAGTGATATGATTCTATCAGTGCAACACTGAAAGTGTTTAGCAGAAAACACTTAGATCTGATAAAGTCTTTTAACAAAGTGACAGGGTACAAAATTATCAAACAAACATAAATAGTTTTTCTCTATATCAATGATGAACAAATTGAGAAACAAATCAGAGATATCAGTCTGTTAACAAATGTCCAAAGATAACACCTCAGAATAAATCTAAACAAGTGTATTGGCTTCTAAATATGTCCCATATAATGTTCAGGTTTGAAAACCTGGTTGGCAGTTTTGGTGTATCTTATGGGAAGATCAGCAAGTATGAACTTATTGGATGAAATATGTCACTGGGGTGGATTTTAAGGTCTCAGGGCCTAGCATTGTTTTGAGTGCTCTCCTTCTGCCTCCTGTTTGTGGGTTGAGGTGTGAGATCTCAGGTTTTACCCCCATGCCGTGCCTGTCTCCCTGATGCCATGCTTCCTGTAATAGTAATGATTGAATTTTATCACTCTGGAATCATAAGTTCCAAACAAAGCATTCCTTCAATACATTGCTTTGTTCATGGTGTTTTATCACAGCAATAGAAAAGCAATGAATACACCCAGGAGGCAAAGCCCTCATTACTGAAAACCTCAACACATTGAAGACAGAATCTTACACAGATGTTATGAGATGGAAAATGTTCCCATGGTCACAGACTAGAGAAATTCATGTTATGAAAATGTCCATCCTACCAAAAACAATGAACAGATTCAATACAATACCAATCAAGAGTGTTATCAATAGAAATAAAAATTAATAATCTTCAAATTATTATGGAATGGTTGGGTGCTCTTTCTTAAATTCATTATTACAGAACTGTCTCTAAACCTCAGGGATCATTGCAGAAAAGGCAGTGTAAATAATGTAGAAGCTGAAAAAGAGAAAGAGAAGGGCTAGAAAATGCTGATGTGTGGGCATTTTCAGAACAAGTGTACTCATGATCTTAAAGCAACTGAAGCAGCTGCAAAGATCCTGCATAAGACTTGCTCATTAATGAGGTATCATAGAGTGATGAAGATACTCACTGGACACTACAACTCCATAGTAAAATTATGAATACTGAATGATTCTGGGTGGTAGGAAGACACTGTCTTCAGTTGTGTCCCCAGTGAGGTGCCAACTAGGTTTCCATTGGTAGTCAAAACCCCCCACATTCCCACAGAAGATAAAAATCATGGTTAAATTGAATGGGCCACGAATAAATAGATGTGAAGTTACAAAAGAGAACTGTAGGGAATTGGGGTTACTAAAGGTGAGAGGGAGATTAGAGAGGGAAAAGGGTTTCAATAAGCAGAATATAATTTATACATCTTTGTAATTTCTAAAGAACAAATTCAATATTAAATTCATACAAAAGCACAAACAATTGCAGATAATCAAAGCAACGTTGGAATAAGATAGTACCTTATTTCAAGTTATACTACAGAGACAGATTAATGAAAACAGCAAAGCACTGACAGAAAACAAACATGTGAATTAATTGAATAGAAAACCAAGATATAAGTTCACAGAACTGCAGGCACTGTATTTTGACAAAATATTGAAAACATGCATTGCAAGAAAGAACTTGGTATTTTCAGTACATAGTATTTTGGAAACTAGATTGCTATGTATGGAAGAATGAATTTCGATCTTAATCCTTCATCAGAGAGAGAGAGAGAGAGAGAGAGAGAGAGAGAGAGAGAGAGAGAGAGAGAGAGAGAGAGAGAGAGAGAGAGAGAGACATATTCACACCAATTATAAATTTATCAAGACCCTGAACAGAAGACACAAAACTCTGACACAGTTGAGGAAAATAGAGGAAGTGTACTTTGAGGGGTAATCATAGGTAAGGACTTTCTAAATGCTACTCATCTCCCTCAGAAAATAAGGCAAATACCCAACAAGTGGGACGGACCCCTTGAAGTTAAAAGATTTCTAGCCACAAAAGGAAATCATTAACCATGTGAAGATTGAGCTAATGAAATGGAAGAAAGCTTTGCTAGTTATATGCTTCCAGACAATGTGTATCTACTATATAAAAAATTAAAGATAATAAAATATTCAATATAAAGAAAGAAATGGATCCAAAGTTGTTGTATGGAACTAAAAAGTACACTGTAAAAGAAAGAGAATGCCTCACATGAATTTTTAAAGTGTTCACCAACATCAGCTATCAAGGAAATACAAATAAATACTATAAACTACTTAGGAGTCCATCTTATCTATGTCAGAATGGGCACCATTATTAAAAAAAATGCCAGAGCTGTAACACCAAAAAAATGCATCTCAGAGACAACAAAAAAGACAAAAAGGAAAAAAAAAACAAATAAATGTTTGAAGTGTATGTTGAAAATATTTGAAAAGAGGAGATAATTTAAATATAAAGGGATGAGAAAGGAGTAGATGTAAGTAATGGACAAGACTGTTGAATGAGCATATAGGCTAATGTTTTTCTTGTTATAAATTTCTCATGGATTTGGGAGTTTTGTGGTCTATAATTGGGTGAAATGTAAGCAATATTGAAATTATAGCATATAATATGTTGTTTCCCAGCTTCCCTTTTGGATACCAATTCTAACTGTACATGAATTCATTAAATTGTATAGACTTTGAGTCTCAATAATTTTGGTGGATATGGTTTTTATTTATGTACAAGTTGCTTTATAATAAAACATAGTTTTTAATATTTTTTTAATTTTCAGAAAAATTGTGGGGAAAGAAAAACACTGTTGCGACTGAAAACTGCACAGCCAGTATTTAAATCACTGTGAGAAGATTTAAAAATCTGAAAACAGAAATTCCATATGACCCAGCTGTAAAATCTTAGTATATAGACAAACTAGGTAGGTATATACTACTATAGACTTAGATATATACAACTACATAGATAATTGAACATTTGTGCTAATTGAAGCTCTATTCACAATAGCTACAGAACATGTTTAGCTTAGATGCACTTCAATTGAAAATATATGAGATTGTGATATGTACACACAATAAAATTTCATTCAGCTATAAAGACAAAATTACGAAATTCACAGTAAAATATTTAGAACTGGAAAATATACTTAATGAGGTAACAGAAGCACAGTTAGAAAAACACTGCATCTTTTTCTCATATTTGGATACTAAACAAATTCTTAGCATGTTTACCTTGATGTGTATATAAAGGAGAGGAAGGCAGAAAAGAACCATTAGAAGAATAGCAAGAAAAAAGAGACCTGAAGGAGAGAGAAGTACTTGGACACATATGATATCAATATGAAGGAAAGGAATATGAGGTTGATTGTGTTGATGCAAAGATGTGGTGGGTAAATTAGGGATAGAATTAAAACCAAGAATATATAAATATGCCATATGGAAACTCATTAGTTTTTAAGCTCATTTAAAACTTTATTAAAGAGTTTAAATCAAGGCAGCTTTCATGAGCAGATTCAACTGCTCCTAGAAGTTATTGGTTATAAAATGAAAAGTCCATTGCTATAATTGGGAAACCTCCCTAGGAGTTGTTGCCTAAAATGGGCCTGGGGATCCAAATAATGTAGGCAATTGTCACTGTTGTCAGTTGCCCACAAAATCTGGTTGGTACGACCCTATTTCTTTCTCTCTCTCTCTCTCTCTCTCTCTCTCTCTCTCTCTATCTATCTATCTATCTATCTCTATCTCTATCTCTATCTATCTATCTATCTATCTATCTATCTATCTATCTATCTATCTATCTATCTATCTTTTTTTTAGCTTTGGAGACAGGATTTCTCTATGTAATTTTGGTGCCTGTTCTGGATCTTGCTCTGTAGACCAGGCTGGCCGCCTTGAACTCACAGAGATCCACCTGGCTCTGCCTCCTGAGTGCTGGGATTAAAGATGTGCACCACCACTGCCTGGCTAAGACCCTATTCCTAAAGCCAATCTCATAGTCTTGTCACACAACATAAGGAAAGAAAACTGGGAATGAGGTGAAATATATCTTTCTGGTAAATAGCCCTCATTGTAGCAGAAGGTTTATGTAGGATTCTAGTGGGAGATTCTTGTCAATAATATTACTCAACTATGGACACTGATATCTATACTTCAACTATCACCCACTGGTGCAATAACTGCAATTGTTGTATCAGAGTAAACAGTCATTTTCTGATAGAGAAGACTTCACATCTGGTACTGTCATCATGGTCAAATATTCATGATGAGGAGGAAATAGGTCCTAGTGTTGTTGCTATCACTGTTGCTCTGTTAACCACAAGGTAAAACATCTTCCTTAGTACTAGAAAGACTAACTACTCCAAATATTGCCAGGATGGTTATTCATAGGTCAAGCTGTAGCTGTGCCATTATGCAGTGGCTTGTGGGAACAGGAAGACTTCACAATTAGGTTTGTAATGGTAATGAACCTTGGATCAACAGGTTGGTAGAGTGTAGAGGAATAAGATGGAGTCAAGATAAAATTACAGAATATACTAAAGGCTAGAGTTGTAACCAAATTAGAAAACATAAATGACTTGGGTTTGAGCCCCAGCATTAAATAAACAGAATATAGAGGGGAGTGTTTGTAGTCCTAGAACTCAGGAGGTAGAGGGAGGAGAAGCAGATCTTCAAGTTAACCCCTATCTGCATAGAGAATTCAAGGCCAGCACAAGCTATATCACACCTTCTCTTCATAAATGTAACTGAGCCTCCCTCAACCCCTATATTTAACAGGACACTCACCATTTCCTTTGAGGAACCATTCAAAGTAAGTTCCTAGTGACTCTGGATTATCAATAAGGTTTGTGTTACGACGGAAAAAATAACCAGACACAAGAACATCTCTGGGATTTCTGATGATATAGATCACCTGAATTGGAAAACATGTAAATGAAGATCAATATAGTCATAAAACAATTTGATCTGGCATAGTTTATATGAAAAGTCAATCAAATATCAGTGAAGTCTCCAAAAATATTTATTATTTTTTTGAACAAAATGTGAAGAGAAGTGCAAAATACCTACATTTATCAGAATGTTCTTTTATAATTTTATTTGATTTACAAAAATGTAACAGCACAATGACTGAGATCACTTATACTGTAAAAAACACAACAGCAACAATAAAAAGACAAATTGATTTCAATACTTGTAAAGATCAATATCTTACAGGGTGTAAGACTATCTATCCACTGTGAAAACATGTCTTATATACACAGAATAATACATACTATTCTATATATATGGAAAATGAAAAACTAATTGATTTCTGTAACTGTAATTATAAAAGAAAATTCTCAAAAGAATCATGATGCAGAGTTTAATGCTAATGTTTCATTGCAAAATGGTGTACACAAAGACCCATGAGCACCTAAAAAAATGCTGAGATGGAAAGAAATAGACTTCCCTATGGAAAAGCAACAGTAATTTTTTATGCAATACCTAATTCTTGGCCTTGAAATCAAACATACACTAACACTGTATGTACTGAGCGGATTGTACCAAGGTACTTTAGAATATGTAGATACATATACAGATGTAACAAAAATCATGAAAAAAGACACAAATTTGAAAGAAAGAAAAGAAGGTTATGATGGTAAGTCTGGAGATAGGAAGAGGAAGGGGGAATAATGTATGTAATTATTGTACAATTTAAAAAAAAATAGAAGAAGTAATTTCAAAAAATAATATTAATTAATTAATGAGAACAATATTTTGTCCCAATACTCATTGTGACATTATTATATAATTCATCTTTTAGGCCTTAATTTCTCCAGACATGAGTTTTCCAAATCCAGATAAGACACACATATATAGCTGTATGATCACAACTTCACTGTGATGGTTTCGAGAGAGATTATTTTCTACATTTGTCTTTGTAGTTTAAGCATAAATACTTATAGGTTCTAAGGTGTGGGGACTTCCACAAAACTTTCTTACAATGAGAAATGATATGTCAGAACCTGGATATTTCTGATTCCTTTGAGAGATCCCCTATCAGTGATGTTGGTGATTTTTTTGGCTCCTGATCTCAGTGAACAGCTAGACACAGCGAGACACAATGGATACAGATAAGTCATGATTGTTGAACAATCTCTCAGATTATAGCATTCATGCCTATTCAGGCTCCTTCCCCTATGAGCAACTCTGCTTAGGTGTTCACCCTTTAGGTATGAATTATATGTAGAATCAAGATGACTTTGATGACAACAGAACAGTAATATCCACTGGACACTAGAGCTTGAACTCTACTTAACCTGTATATGTAGTCCCTGAATTCCCTATGGTGATAACACAGTTTTTTTGCATTATATCTGCCCAGGATCACTGAGAGGTAGTTGATATCCTGGTACTCTGATATAGGCTGAGGAGGGGACACATAAGCATCACCTAGTGCATGAAAATCCCATCTTCCCTCTCCAAATCTACACAGAATGCATTTCAGGCAGAGGAACAGAGCCCAATGCAGTAGAATAAGTTCAAACATTTGGCCAAAGACTTCTCAACCACTGGACACTGACCTTGGCCTTGGATCTGAAGAAAGACTTGGGGAAAAGATGAAAAGGAAGGTTGGAGGTCATGAGGCGTGGTCCTTCCTTATTGATTAATGTTAGATGTGTATTTGGATACTCTATCCAGAGCGAGCGTTCCCAGATAGGCACAGATTGGATCCATTTGGGATTTCCCTTGGTATGAATCAAGCAGACAGTCTCAATCAGCCAGTTAGTTCCTGAACAAGAAGGAAAAGTTATTGTCACTCATTTCAAGAGCACTTCTGAAAAGCCTTAAATAGAATATACAACCATACAATTTACAATGTAGCTATTTCCAAGCACAAAAGCATGTGGTATTTGCAATATCCACATTGTGTAAGTGGATATATTCTTTCAGCAGATTCAAAATGCTTCACCTAACAAAACTAGAATCTTTACTCAGCAACCCCCACCTTCCTATGGAACATTGCCTCCAGTCAAGAACCATTTGTTTTGGTGAATTCAACTATTCCAATATTTGTCACGTATGCAGTCATGGAATCTGTCCTTGAGATTGGAACCTTTCATTTACTACAATGTCATTAAGTTGCATCCATCCTGCACTGTATGTATTAGTACTGCTTCTCTTTAGCTTAAATAAATCCCCTTGTGTCTATTTATCATACACACGTGTATTTGTGATTATATGCTCATTTCTCAATGAGTGTTTCTCTAGTATTACTTTCTGGGCTATTATCCGAATCCTTTTCCTGCAGTCCACTGTCCTTAGATTTTTCCATTTTATTGCCCTTTGATGTTAGCAACCTAATACTTAACCAATGTCTACTGCTTCTGCCACCCACCATATGGCACCTCCCCCAATGACCATGATGCCTTTCTTTTTTTCCTTGAGTTTTGAGACTCTTTCTTCTACCTGAAGAATGTCCATGGTAATTCTTCTACCTGAGCTTGTCCTGTCCTCCACATATTCTTATATTCATGCCTCTATTCTTGATGCCTTTTTATCTGTTTATTCTCATGATTATCTCTCTTCCACACAGAGACAAGCCAATGCCATAATATGCTTTAGGAATCACTGTCATTGCCCCAAGGATTAGCTCAGGCACTCTTAGTGCCTTAGCTGCTCCTCTGACTACATTAGTTAGGTTAGAGTTCTTCCTCTGAGTGAAAATGCTCTCAGATACAGCTCTCCAAGCCCACAAACCATTGAACAAATGAGATATATAAAGTATTCCATTCACCACCTAAATGATAAATGATTAAACCCCAAACCTTCCACAGACCACAGACAGTTCAGGATCATTGTCAATGATGTTCCTTACCTGACTTAGGATAACTCACTATGACTGTGTCTTCATCTCTGATCACAAACTTATCACGGCTTTCTTCAATAATTGCTCTTTTATGCACTATAGCATAGAAAGGTATTCCCTCAAACCAAAGGTAGGCTGACATCCCCCCAAAAAAACTCTTTCTTGGTGCTGTGAGAATTCCAGCATTAACCACCTGTTCAGCTTAAATCAAATGTTGAGAGGTAAAATTTATAGTGCAGGCAAAATATCATTAACATACCAAAGTTTGTACTGAAATGAGCTACTGATATGAAGAAATACAGATTGCAGAAACCAGTCAAAGGTTGCTGTATTAAGCAACTGTGCACTTATTTAGAGATTGTTCTAGAGAATTGTGAGCCTGAGTTTATGATCCCCAACCAGAAACTCAATAACAAGTACTTAGACATTGAAATAAGGCTTAATTTAAAATATTTTCTAATACAAGTAAGCATTCCCAATGGTTTCAAATGTGCAAAAAAATTTACAGAGACCATAAAAAAATTTGACCTGAAAAAAAGTTGTTCTGTACAATAATTTGTTTTAAAGTAGGGATTGTTTTTGATAAATATAGTGCCTTCACTGCACCTCAGCCTCATTTTCCCCCTCCATTGCCTCCCTCTCTTTCCCACATTCATGATCCCTTCTTTAATTTTCCCTGCTATGTTTATATTATCACACAATCACATAACATATAGAGTCAATTTACTTCTGTTTGTATGTGAATGTGTCCTTAGATGAACACTTGGGATGGAACAACCACTATGTGATTCCCCCTATTGAGGCAGTTGAATCTACTACCTTCATTGACCTGTTTTTTTTTTCAATCTAGGTATAAGACAATGTAAAATTTCCTCTATCATTATTTGGGTAAAAACTGGTGCCTTTATGGTGGTTCATTTGGGTAAGTATACTGGCGAGAGTTCAAAGATGTATTGCTCTGTCATCGCTCTAGGATGTATTCTATCCACAGATATCCTTAGGCTCTGTGTTTTTCATAAGCCTTGGGTAGGAATTCATTTTAAAAAATTTTGAAACTCTGTGGGTTTGGTCCTAGTTTTTGGCACCAAAATGTATGTAAGTTTTGCAACTCTGTGGGTTTTGTCCCAGGTTTTGGCACCAAAATATGTCACTCTCAACTATCTGTAACTGCAGTTCCAGGGAATCCAATAATCTCTCCTGGCTTCAACAGGCACCAAAATGCATGAGGTACACAGATTAGCATGCAAGTAAAACACTCAAAAATAAAAGTAAAATAAATTTGAAACATCTTTTTAAAATAAGAAATGAAATTAGAATTTTGACAAAATTTTACTATGGATTTTCTGAGCTAATTTAATCATATTCATAATATTAAATTTGTCAATCAGTGAAGAGTGTATTGCTGGAGAGTATCATTCCAGTTCATGTTGTTCTTTTTAGGTGCTTCCTTTAATTCTTAAATATTTACTGTAATTAATTTCACTTCCTTTTTCAGGACTGGTCCCAGTATAGTTTAATCTATTGTTAAGAGTATTAGTTTCTTATTTTTTCAACATTTTCATTGTTATTTTAAAAGGTCATGGATCTTGTGCCATGCTTTGTTGTGGAAAGTAGTAATATGGTCTGAGTGTTTTGTGGAGGAGTCCTTAGAATCTGTGATATGTGGGACCATTTTCTTTCAAACCACCACAACTTGGTGTCAGATGATAACAATTTGTTAGAAAGGAATTCAAAATGATACTCTT